TTCAATTTCAATCCCCAAGGTTGGGAAATACACTGAATTTGAAGGTCATAGTTTTGGACCTTCAAATTCAGTGTAGATTATTTTAATTTTAAAACTTAAACGGCAGAATCGTAATTATGATGATGAGAAATCTTCAAATTCAGACTTGAGAGTTGATCCTTCAAGCTTCCAATTTTAATCATACCACATATAAAATTAGGCAAATCTAATGATGACAGACCATTTTTAACTTATCGAAGGATTCATCTCAATTTACTCTAAGAGTGCGAGAACTTATATCTAAACTACCCTTAATTACTTATAAGGGATTATGGGATTCCACTCGATAATTTCTTTTTAGTTTTTGGAACAATTTTTGGTGAATGTCCACAAATTACAAGAAATTGCGACAAGTAAAACGATTGATTGCGTTCCTAAATAATTGAGAAACCGCAATTTACCAAAAGAAGCTGTAAAAAGATAATGATTTCTCCTTGTGTAGCCCGCATACAAATTCTGTTTCAGCAAAATAAATGAAATAAAAACAGCTTTCACTGCTGGTATCAATAATAATCATAATTTACGAGTATATACTGTTAAGATGTCTCGATAGGGTTATGGATTTTGATGACAGACTCTAAGATTTAGCTGTGGTTTTCGCCAAGTTCATCTATAACTCCCTTGTACACTGGACTATATTTCACCTTTTTATCAGTTCCGGGCGACTACAATGCCCTTGTCGCCATAAAACAGCGCCACCACCTTTCTATTTTGTGCGTTGTTATCGTCATCTCTTCTTTATATAGACAAAAAAAAATATGTCTACGGTCTGATATACCAGCATTAATTTATTATACAAAACTGTGCTTCAATGATACTAAAGACAGTAAAACCTTTATCAAGATCCTTATAGTTGGCAACTACATTTCGAATTAGTTCGCTTCCCTTACCTAAACCTTTTATATGGAGGTAATCAAACGACACTTTACTGCAAAAATTAACGCGGAAAAAAATCAAATTACATTAAAAAGTTTCTGGCAGATGTGATGTTTCCCGGTTCAAAGTCATCTTAAATTAAAGAGACAAATACCCAAGCAATCAAGCAGTGGTACCTTGTTCTAGGCACTTATGAAAGTTTAGGAGAAGAGGTCGCCAGATTCAACATTCATCTCGGTCGTAATTTGTTGGGCTCGATTAATCACAGAACGAACCATTTACAAACGTCGACATACAACAATTATATAGGGTGAAAGTGAAACAGGCACTCAGGGCCAGGATAACACATACCGCGCAACAAGCGACCGAAAGAACAATTCATTAAAGAAATCTTAATTACCTTAAAGTGTCAATAATCCAAAATCTCCGGTCGTAGTTGCGATTTACAAAAAATAACGCACAAACACAAAACACCAGGTGATATTGCTTCGAAACTTCGTGTCTCGATTTCAATTATAGCACTAGAACTTCGATTTAGATGACACTGCTTCCGCTATAATTACAATTGACTCTTCAATGGTGGACAAAATTCAAAAAGTCTGTTCATCTGCTTTCGCAGCGATAAGGACACTTATCGCAACGACCGGAAAAAACATGAGATAAATTTGTATAAATAATTCCTAACTGATAAACCTAGTTTTAACACATAGTTTAAATTTACAAATTACCAAAACAAAGTAAACAAAACAATTAATTAAACAAAATCAAACGTCATTAATTCTGATACGAAACATAAACATCGAAATCAAACAACTTAATCCTACGTTTTTTAAAATGTGCACTCTCTGAGAGTAGCATACACGGACGTGGTAAGTTAATAATTAATTAATTACCTTACTCTTTGTACAAAGAATACATACTACAATTGTTTATTTAAAGAATAAACAATGAGAATACCTTTCTTAATTTATAATTTCACAATCCAGTTTATACACTTTCAATTTAAACACTTAAAAAGAAATCGGTCCTAAAATCTGAACTTTGCCAATCTTAATCTAACTAAAGATTATTGTCTCGAAGACTCGCTGTATTACATGACTGCTTGCTCCTTCAATTAGACGAAACTTTTTTCGTAAACGGACAACAGGCGTTAAACTTCTCACACCAACTTGCTTTTGTACAAATCACGAACTGCGTCTTAAACTAAAATAAATAGGGCCGAATGCCCGTAAAAAGATGTACACGCGCTTCAACCGTTGCGAAACCGACAGCCTCGTTTTATATTAATTCAGTATTTAAGGAAACACCACTTCCACTATATAAAACAAACTCCTTCTTCATCAATATTCAAATCAAGCGCCAATCACTTCATTTTTACACATGAAACGTGCAATTTTTCGTAACACCTTATCAGTTTAGCGTAACGGTTTAAGACTGGGACTCTAACCGCACGGGTTGTAAGTTCGAATCCCACAAGCTGCCAGTTTTAGTGGTACAGAACCTCTCTTGACTACCATGCTTCGGAGGGCATGTAAAGCTGGCAGTCCTGTCAGTGATACCACGACTGTTGTTAGGTCACACATACGGCTGCTGATGCCATCTGAAAACGTCTGTACCACGGGAGTGGGTGAGGGTGAGTGTGTAAGTTTAATTAATTTATAGTTCACCTGATGATGGCGATTATCGCCGAAACTATAGTCGTGTTTTAATAGTGCAACAATAAATTTATGGGGAAGGCTTTGAGATCCGATTTTCTTAATCTTTGATGTGCAATTTAACACAGAGAAAAAATTTAAACGAAAGTTACGCAGTTAGAAACAATTCTAAAAAGAACAAGTATAAATTTGCACAACTCATGTGCAGATAAAGCGCATTTTTTTAAACCAAAATAGCTTTTTTTTTTGACATCACCAATGGATATATTTCTTGCAGACGTCTCAATCGCCCTTTGTGAGTACCCTGTTCCGACAATCCGTTCTTGAGGTATAAGGGAATATACTCGATCACGATAAGAGGTCGAGGAGGAGCGCTATGGTTGGTAGAAATTAATTCCTTTCGTTAGAGTACCATGAAGGATAAAACTAGGTCCACTACATTTGTTGTTTTCTTTGAAAGTGAGATCCTTGAAGGTTGCTTATACGAACCCTCACGTTTGTGCATCAAAACGCAGCGGTAATAAGTTGCATTGATACTTCGGATGTGACTATTTTTCTTCTTCTTACTCCGGCTTAATCTTGGTAAGTACCTTCGTAAGTATCAAGGACATGTAGGAATTTTAAAATTATTTGTCAGGTTTCAACTAAACGATTTTTATTAACTTGAACAACAAAAGTAACGTAGCAAACACAGAACAGCAAATAGTAAAAACTAATATCAAATAATGATTTTTGGAAGGATTTCGACATATTTAAATTGACAATTAAGTTAATATTGATGTGTGGAATGGAAAACAGTCACTAAGCCACATACACCTACGTTGGCTTTAAATTTTATTAATTTGAAGAATTCAGTGGGTGGCCTCGATCAACTTTCGCCAATTCCAAAGAATTAACTAAACAATTTCACCTGACATAATTCTTGGGTACGACTAGAGACTAGAGTAGAGAAATCTGACATGAAAACTCTATCTGGGCCGCACTTTGGGTTCGATTAAACACAGAGGTAATTAATTGACAAAACACAATAATGTATTCCGCAAAACAGAAATTAAAACAACAATTGTGGCAGAATGAAAGGTATTTAGGGCATGTTTTTACAAATACCACGCACGCAGGTGGTCAATAGATAATTAAACAAAGAAATCTTAATTATTTACAGTTTTTCAATAATCCAATCCGTTAACACTTAAATCCCTCAATGCGATTACTTAATTTCTTTCACATAACTTTATTATAATATCGATTAATTACGTCTCCAATTAAATATACGGCCGACTGCTCAACATAACCGCGTAACAAATATCACGCACTCAAACCGTCATCAAAAAAAGTCCCGTTTAATCGTTGTCGTTAAAGGATCTATCATTTCCACCATAAAATAATCTCCTTCTTTATTAATTTTTACATAAACCGCCAATCACAATGGAATAACTCTCCACTTATGCCGAGAAACACGCACGTCTTCGTAAAACACCTGCATCTTTTTGTTAGAACCACATGTGCATTAATTAAATTTCGCCTAACAACAAAACTTCTTATCGCTCACCCAAAATTCGACCAGATGTGTCTTACTTCTAACACCTTACGTAAATTGAGCAATTTACAAAAACGAGGAAATTAAAACGGAAATTACGCATCTACACAAATTTCTAAAAGGAAAAACAAATACTGAAATACAAATTCAAACAAAACGATCACACTTTGTGTTTATTCGTAAAAACCCATCAGATTTGCTGTACAAATTGAAATAATTCACATACAGAGTGGTCCAACCTTATTGAAGGTGCTGAAACCACAATAGTGTATTCTGTCACAATTTTTGGAGGAAACTGTTTTTTTTTAAATCAAAATGGCATGGCACATTTACATTGTTGTCATAACGTGAACATTGCGCTAGAAGCTTTACTAGTGCACATCTAATGCTGACCTCATTTTGTGTCACTCACAATAAAAAGATGAAGCCAAACGAAAAAGTCACATTTTTAGACTTTTCCCGCAATTTTTTTTGCATTAATCATTCAGTTTTACACACCAAGACAAACGGATGTTTTGCTTTTTAAACGTTCACGTCTATTGAAGTTGTCATGGAAGGAAACGCTTTTTTAATGGAAATAATTGGAGCACGTTTGCGAATCCTACGTACCTATTTCTGAACGGAACCGAATTTCCAGATTTACAATCTCGCCCCCTTTTTTTGCGAGGAAACGCGTAACCTTGACATAATGCGACGTCGCGCGAAAAATTTCGAAAAGAAAAACCCAATTTGTCGCTGACTTCCAACGATATAATCTAAAAATAAAATTTGTAAAACAGTGCATAATGAGATGAGGGAGTTCTTCCTGTACGCTAATTGAAACGGAAACGAACAATCGAGTTGGCTGCGACAAACTCGCGTGGCCCGACTTCAATCTACTGATAACAGTACTGATAACGCGTATAAACTTATCACGTAATCATTACGTAAGGTATCGGGAACGAACTTTTAAGGGAAATAAGCGACCGGCGAAGGGACGTTCCTAAGATGAGCGGGTGTCGGTTGTTTCGGTGACGGTTCTGATTTGCCCACCATTCATGATTTGTGATTTTTTTAGGGGATTATCCTTCATAATGAGGTGAGTTGTTTCGTACAGAAAAATGTACTTCTTTGCATGGGATGCGTGCAGTTTACTAATAAGCTTTCGCAAAAATTTACATTTTTGACCAAGATACGAGTATTACTTACACATTGGGATTGTATTCGCCACATAAATATTATTTTAAAATTGTTCTGCTTCTGATCCTCAACCCTTTCCTTTTAAATCACTTCTTGTTGTTCGGTCTCTTACTAAGGCTGCACACTTTTCACAAGCATGGGTTGGGATACCATTATTGAGAGGAGTTTAAAGCACTCACCATTTCTACCACGAAAAGATCAGTCCCATTCCAAGGGAACACTATTACAGTATCACTAGTTCATCTAGTGATTTGTATAATTTTACTATACCTAATGTCTTCCTCCGTTCACTGCCACTGACCACGAGCACTTAAAAGGGAGTTCATGATTTCGGACTTTGTGTCCGTCCGTCCGCCTGTGTACATGATAACTCGCGAACGGTTACGAATTTTCCAATTCCGTTTTTAGTATTATGTTTAGCATGGCCTAAGGAAGAACTGATGCAATTTTCAGTGACCCATGAGCTCGTTTGAAATATATTTGTTAGGTACAAAAAGAAATGCTGGTTTATTCTTACTATCAAATTGCAAAATAAAAATTGTCACCACCTTTGAATACCGTATCATGCAAATACAAAATATTTCCCCAAATATTCAAAATTATGAACTCACAACTCTTAGTAAATTCACTCTACAACTGAAATTCCCTCAATTTACCAAACCCCCAATCAAGAATGATCGATTAGCAAATTAATTAGTGAAGCTTTCTGAAACTTTCCACAAAGAAATTGATATTCCGGGTAAAAATTCGCACGTATAGTGCCAAGTATAAGTAAAACATATAAGGCAACTCTTACCTTAAATAAACCTAGCAGTTGATGCCATCCAAATCTGTAAACGAAAAAAAGTATTACGTACACAAAAAGGAAAAAATTGGGAAAACCTTCTGTGGGACAAAAACCCCAAAATAGCTTACATAAATCAACTACGATAACAAAATGCAAAAGAGAAAAATTAACAAATAAAACATCTCAAATTGTACGAATCAAATGCAGTTAAACAAAGTCATAAAAACACAACACATGAGGCATCATAAATGCAAGGGGAAAGCATGATAAATCAATTTAGAACATACATACATTAAAACACACATACGCATTTAGGAAAACCATAATGGTGTGGTTCTACTCTGGCGTCAGTTGACGCAAATTAATTTAATTAACTAATTCTGTGCTTGTAACGAAATCCTTTAGATCAAAATTGCATTTAAACATTCGTATATACAGGGTCTCCACATTTGAATAGCGTATCACACAAATACAAGATATTTCTACAAATATTCAAAATCATGAATTACTTCACTCACAACTCTTAGTAAATACTTCGGGATTTTTGGTTTCTTCATCATCTTCCTCGGCCTCCTCGTTTTCCTGTGGTTCATTAATTTCCTTCTTTTCCTTGGCCTTTTCGGGTTCTGTATCATATTGTTCGGACTCATTGCTTTGACAAGCTCTTCGACTTTTTCGGTTTCTTTTTCATCTTCCTCGGCTTTGTCGTTTTTGTACGGTCTTGTTTATTTCATGATCTTTCTTCGTTTCTTAGTTTTTTCCCACGCTCAATTAAATTCTTATTTTCTTCGGGTTTTCTCTCTCTTCATCATCTTCCTCGAGCGTTTCGCTTTCCTTCGCTTCATTTATTTTCCTTCTTCTCCTTTGATTATTTTGTTTCTTCATTATCTTCCTCGGCCTTCTCGCTTTCATATGCTCATTTAGCTTCTTTATTTTTTCTTTTCTTCGACTTTGAAGTTTTTACATCATCTGTCTCGATCTCATCGCTTTCATAAGCTTCTTTAACGTTTTTTTCCTTTGTTTCCTTAAGTTTTTCGGCTTCTTCATCACATTCTTCGGGCTCCTTGCTTTCACACGCCCCTATTTTCCTTCTTCGGCCTCATCATCTTCCTCGGTTACTTCGCTTAATTCTTTACTTTCTATTATGCCCCTCCTTTCTCTGCTTTCTCGCTTTTGTACGGTCGTTTAATTTTCATATTTTACTTGTTTTTCTTGACTTCTCCCATTTCTTTCTCGGTTTTCTCGTCTATCCATATTTCCTTATTTTTATTTTTCTTCTTTTTTTTGAATTTTTCCGGTTTCTTGATCATCTTCCTCGACCTCCTCGCTTTTCTACGCTCACTTAATATCCTTCTTTTTAGCGTATTTTTAAGAATTAAAAAATTTTTGCTATTGTTTGCGTTTTGTCCGTCCGTCCGTCCCACTTCCACCGTTTTGAACTACTTCTAGGGGAAGACGGTCATCAAATTTGTGGTGCTTAGGTTTAGGAAATTTGGTGGGGGGGGGGGGGAGGGGGGTACCCTACCCTTCATGGTATTCTAATGAAATGTCTCGTCGAAATACATTGATGTGTACAAACTATAACTTTCCCGTGCGAGATCAGTTAGCGACCGGGGGGGGGGGGGGGTTAAAGATGTATTTTATCTCTCATTGTACTCGTATTCTAATTAAAGGTCTCACCGAAAACCGTTTTCTAGCAACGACTGTTTTTCTTTCTGTCCTCTTATCAAAGTACGGGGTGGAGGGGGAGGGGGGGTTGGAACTAGTTTTATCCTTCATGGTACTCTAATGAAAGGTCTCAACCAGTCTCAACGAACTAAACTGCACAGGGTACTTTTGATATACCGACTTTGTGGTTCAATGGTAGAGCGTTGGGCCATAAATCCGGAGGTCGGGTGTTCGGACCTGGGTTGAAGTGAAGTTTTTATCTGTGGCAGAGTTGGGAATTACCTTAGACCAGTTTTGAGCATTCTGCCGGCTTCTCCGAATTAGGTTTTCTTGCAGTTTTCCAAATTCGTAATGTAAATGCCGGAGTCTAGACCGGAGTAGTATAGAACAACTTAAAACCTTCTGCAGAGGCACCTTTAAAAAAGCACTATGTTGAGGGCCCAGAATTGAAGAAAATTGGTATAAAAATAAAATAAAATATAAAATTAAAATAAAATAAACTGATGACTGATTTACAATCCAGTTTTATGAAAATACATATAAAATAATAAATTTTTTGCCTAAATGTACATGTACAAGGGGCTGTACAAGGGTAAATATGACGGGAAACAAAATGAACTATTTAACAGAAAATTGAAATTGGAGCTATGTAATTCAGGGTGAATAAAAAATACAGTAACCAAATGTTTTACGGTACCTTCTAAATATTTTACTCCTGGAGTTGCGTTGATCCCGTAGAAGTTGTCTGAAGACAGGGTCCTCCTACGAGTTATGTCAAGTTCATGAATGGACAATGGCCCTCAAAACGTAAGTTGATTTGCCATACCTACGTCTCGCCCAGATCTATGGAATTGGTATTTCGTCAGCGTATCTTAATTTATATTATTAATTTATGAAAGTACGATATCAGGTCTTTTTCACCGCGAAAAATTAACAATGTGAGTATGGCAATGGACTAAGTTTGTTTTTTAAATGCAGTAGTTCGTCCCTTTCCACCACAACAAAATTCTTATACCGATCCGCTGGAATTTTACGGAAAAAACCACGAAACTAACTGCAGCTATGATTTCGCCAACCTTTTCAAACTTTGCGATCTAGCTTTCGTAATCGCAAACAGAGCGGAGTACCGGCTTGTTATTGCCTACCTCTATCTATCCCCTTTTTCTCCCTTTTCTATTTATAATTGCCCAGTAGAAAAATCGAAACGGACCCAACTTAAATACCGAGACCGCGTCCGTTTTCAGCCAATCCGAGAGTCCCGACTTTTGCCCACTCTGAGAGAGAGAGAGAGAGATTAGGCTAGCTTAGGATTTGCCATTGTGCTTTTTTCGTTTACTAAACAGTTACAATTGCTTATTTTGTTACAGAAAAAAGTGCCAGTTACGAAGGAAAATGTACGAGAGCTCGTGCTCGTATCAGAGTGCCCTCGAACTCAAACGTAGTGGAAGTGCCGCGTGCCCCTTAACCATTAAAACCGAAGAGTTCGGCACCGCCGCGGACTGGCCCGCGTACCGATTTTGCAATCCGAGCACCTTCGAACAGCTCAAGCAGAGCGTCGAAAAGGCGAAGGCCGCCCTTCAGGTAAATTCCATCGTCGATTTCCCCAACTTGAACGATCCAACTAAAAATTGGTTACAGGACCGGAGCGGTTTTCTGGGGGCCGGTAGTGCTTTTAGTGATTTGTATAGTGGTGTTAGTAGTACAGGAAGGACCCAAGATAGTCTGCAGGATTCGAGCCGATTACGCGATACCGATGTCGACATTAAGAGATCGTCGCAGGGTAAGCGAATTTACAATTCATTAAAATAGGGCTATAAAAGCGCGCATTTATTACAGTCGAGATTTTCGTTTTGTGTTATAATTTTAATGTCGGGAGAAATTTTATGTGCCTACAAAAGTTTGTTGCAAATTCGCCCTTTATAAAGCGCTGCGGGTAATGTGAATCAATAGGAGCTAGTTCAGACGCCCTACGTCCTTGCGGCGATAACGTGCTCGTCTCAACAAAAACTTTCTTTTTGTACAAAATGAAAGAGTAGCAACGCTTTGATCGCAAAAAAACCCGTAACATTGATATTAGTGAACAACTTCTGTTATTTTTTGTTAATGTCATATGAAATCTTTTTCCACCGTACGGAAGTATACAGTGCGTTCGAGATGAGAGGCTCACCTGAATATTTCTTTTATTTGGCGAAATACGAAAAACTTTACTAACCTTCTAATGTTAAAACTGTAGCATGAGAACTTTGATCTTGGTCGTAACTGGGCTCGATTAAACACGACATAGAACATTTACATATGAAACAAATTAATTGGACAAAATCAATCAATAAATCTGAAATAAAAATAGGCACTCAGGGCCAGAATACACATACCACGCAACAAGCGATCGATTGAAACAATGAATTGAAGAAATTTTGAAAGTTCCAAAATATCCGGTCAGTTGCGCTTTCTATAACTGATGCACAAATACACACAACAACCAATTGATGTTGCTTTTGGAACGTCACTCCGTTACTTTAATTGCACTTAAATCCAGATTTAGATGACACTAGGTTCGTTTGAATTGCAGTTTGATGGTACTCAAATAGTATATTAAGAGACAAGTGTATAATCAAGTCTTTAAAACACGCGCAACGAGTTTAATGGCTCAGTTCGTAAATATTCCTCGAGAATAATAGCTAGCATTATTGACTCGTGATATAATCTACTATTACTTGATCCTCCTATTTTTTGAGGGACAAATATTCCTGTTGATAAAGTTGATATCAGTCCATATTGAAAAAAGAAGTAGGTAGTAGTAAAAAATTTACCGCTTTCTGTCGCTACATAGTATTGGAAATTTGAAAAAAATTCGCCAAGTTGATGTGAAATTTGTTGGACTCCATCAAAAGGTATTCTCAAACGGAAAGATAAATAGTCGAATTTTTTTAAAAGTGCAAGAATTTTTTATATCCACCACTTTCACTAACTTAACTTTACATGAGCAAAACAGTGACACTTTGTTTTAAATAAAATTGTCAGTGTCGGCCATTAGCTATCGTATCCCGCTTAGGAATTTAACTAAAAAGGGGAATTGTATTTATATCGGTAGTGTTTCTTTTATATAACATACCACGACGTTTCCTATGTTTATGTTCCGCTAATAAGTGAAAAAATGCATATGTGTCATTTGTTATCTATTGGGCGCAACTTTATGGAAAGCAAAGGGCATGTGCATCTTTTGCTTTTGGTCGAATTTTTTGAAATAGATAATTTTCACGAAGACTTACTCTTAGTCCAGTATGCAGATAATTTTGACCTGCAAAAGGTGGTGTAAAAGATTTTATTGTTTTAAATGGTCCATTTGGGTTCAAATAACATGTATTTGAAGAGTGCGCACAAATTTTCCCGGCACAACTTTTGGCAGCGAAAAAACCTCAAAATGTTTGGCATTTTTTTTAGTTTTTCGCCTAAAACTCGAAAACGGTCCATATTTTATGAAACACTTCGTTAGTAAATTAAAGAAAACAAAATTATGCGTCGATACAGAAAAAACAAACAAAATCGGTCCAATCGAAAAATTTTTACAAGCGATCAAAAAACGCCCATTTTTTCCAACGAATTTCAAAAATTGGTCCAATTTTAAATTGGTGGTACTTTTTGAAATCTCTGACTGATGTTCTACAATATTTAGGGAGGGGGGTAGTGGATTTTATCGTTCCTTTAGGAGCCACAACGCATTAAAAAAAGGTTAACTCAGTTCTTTAGAAAAGTTGGAAAAGATGGGCGTTTTTTGATCGCTTGTAAAAATTTTTCTAATGGACCGATTTTGTTTGTTTTTTTTGATCGACGCAGAATTTTGTTTTCTTTAATTTACTAAAGAAGTGTTATTCATAAAATATGGACTGTTTTCGAGTTTTAAGCGAAAAACTGAAAAAAGGTCGAACATTTTGAGGTTTTTTGGCTGCCAAAAGTTGTGCCAGGAAAAAATTGGTGTGCACTATTCAAATACATGTTACCTATTTGGACCCAAATGGAAAAACGTTAAAATCGTTTATTTTTTTATTTTATTTTATTTTATCCCTCTCTTGTTTTGGGCCCTCAACAGGCATGCGCCCAATTACCTACAGAGTGACCCGCATAATGCTATTTAGAGGTGCCTCTGCAGAAGGTCTTAAGTTGGTCTATACTACTCCGGTATTTACCTTACGAATTAGGAAAATTGCAGGAAAACCTAATTCGGAGCAGCCGGTAGAATGCTCGGAACTGGTCTAAGGTAATTTCCATCTCCGCCACAGATGAAAAATTCACCTCAACTCAGGTTCGAACACCCGACCTTCGGATTTATAACCCAATGCTCTACTACTGAGCCATAAATCCGATTTACACCACATTTTGCTGGAATCGGCCCTTCTGACTGCTCCGCATACTGGACTATCTGAGGAAACTGATAATTTTAGATGAGAAATATACACAAACGTGTAATTTAATGATATTTGATTTGATCTAACTAAACAAAGTGCTGCGCTTCTGGTAGTTTGAAAGCATTGTTATAAAACAGAGTTCATATTCAGCACTACTTATGATATAATATTGTAGTACCTAGTATTGTACGTACCCCCCGCCCCGTCAAAGGGAAATATTATTACAGCCTCATTATAGGGGTTTTTAAATTTCTTGAAGCATCCTGTTGGGATGCAAAAGGTTTTAGAAATAAAAAATTATTTCCTATGTATCTATAATAGGATATCCATTTTTCGTCTTGGATTTACATGATTTACAAATCAACAGCATTCAAATAAATAAATAATAAATAGTAATTTATCTAATCCATATCATTAGGAACGGCGTAACAATGTGTAGGGTAATGCCAGGTAGTTTCTTTTGTTTTCCCTTTCAAGTAATGAGTTGTCGCCTCAGGCATTATAAGTGCAATTTAAGTTGCCTATCCTTACGTTAGCGTTTTGATTTTTTTCTGAAGATCGCGAAACATATTTTTTAAAATATATGCCTTATCATAATAGATGGAAATAATATCTTTAAGTACCGCCGTAAGAAATACTGTCGGATTTCCAAATTGGTGCTGTACGTTTTTCTACCCTCATTACAACGGCTGTTATCTACAAAAAACGATTTTTCTATTCATCGATCTTCCTAAAAAACTAAGACCGATATTTCAATTTTTTTTAAGTACCGCCGTTCTTTTCATCATTGCAAAGAATATCCACTATCGAGAATTTGTTAGACTTCAACTACAAAAGCAGCATTTCATAAGGAAGTTTAGCTATTTTTCCAATATGGCGGATTGACTACAGAGGAGCCTAGCCATGTATTCGAGTATAACATCCAGAGACTTGCTATAAGTCTCTAACGTCAATATGATTTCATTGTATTTCCCCTTATTTTTAAATTATATTGCAGGTATAATAAAAAATACTATAAGAAACACGTGTATAATTGGTGTTTAAAACACTTGCAAAGTTTAAAGGCACTCCGCTACGCGTCGTGCCATTAACCTCTTTGCGCGTTCTTTAAAGACTTTATACACTTGTCTCTTAATATAGTTGAACTAAAAATGGTAGCGTTAGGATGTCCAAAAATAGTCAAATATCGAATGGTTTTTGAATGCTACCAATTTTTTCGCATAAACAGAGCGTGATGGGAGATGATGAGCATCAGGAAAAGCAATTTCATATCTCACAATTTGCATCGAAACAACCTCTAAAATAAGACTGGGGTTAGAACGCTCATTGTTCCTTCTGGCATTTCGCACAGGTGAACAAACCTTTTATCGTCTTTTGCCTAAACACTATACCTACCTAGATATTTTATTGTGTAAGTAGTCGATAATTGCAGAAAGCTTATGGGGAGCCAGTTATTATCTGTCGGCAAAAAATGGGGTTGCAATATTTCAAATGTTGCAAGCCTCGTAAATATCGCCTCTTTTTGTCTGTTGGAAGCCACTTTTTCAAAGTTATACTTCTTATTGCTTTTAGATTTGTTCCTTCCTTCGAACGGGTAAAAAACGACAAAACTCATTTCGTATAATTCAATTTGTTGGCGGAATTTATCGAAACGCGCGCCTCTCGCAAATAACAGCGGCCACAAAGGGCCCTTAATTTAGTAATTGGTCGCAAACACTAAAAATCTCTCCGACGCTGAAAGCTCGAAAATTTAAGATGGTAGTCGAAGATGAAACGTGTATCCATAGCAACCCCCGTCACAACCCCATTGGCCGCGTTTTATCTCTTACGCTAGCGCAGTCACCTCGTGCTTTTATAGTATGGAGATTTCAGACGCCATTGCTCATAGATATACAAGATCGCAGATTACGCACCTTGTTAATGTAAACACGTGCACTGACCTAACGTAACCGCATCGATTGGACCACGTATATATGACCACCGTTACGGACACGTGGCGATACCTCTCCAAACGCGGAAAAATGCCGGAGAAAAAAAGCTCTAAATTACGAATTCAAAGGAAACAAAACGGGGGAACGTGACAAAGGAGCGGAGACATTGTAAAGTTCTTGAAAAATATAAAAGGAAAATAACAAAAGTTCGCTTTTCAAATTAATGATTTATTTTGGTTGAGGCCAAGATGGCGGGCCCGGATGTGCCCAGAGAGATGCGGAACTCCGGAAGTGACGATCGTGGCACTTCTGAACACCTGAAGGAATTTTCTTACGACTTTTTTTTTATTAAATTGTTTGGCTCACCCTCGAGACATTTTCGAGAGGCGCACGAAAAAAGTCCCTGTTTATGTTAATGGCGTGTGCTGACATTGTCCTGTAATGGG